ATACCCATTTTACAGACATGGAAACTGAGGCTCGGAGAGGTGAATCTGGGTCACATAGCTACTCTGTGGCAGAATCAGGACTCCAACCCAGGTCTGACCAGCTCCGGTGTTTATGTTTTTAACTTCTGAGATTGGCTGAAGACTTTTGTGTAGCAAAGAAAGACGCCAGGAGACATTTGTGCCTCAAGACCCTTGCCCCTCTCCTTGGGATCCTGTCCCTCAGATCAGCAGCCCCTTCTCTCACATCCTCTCTTCCTTGAGCCCAGGGCCCCGTTTCCCTAGCTCGGAACCTCCCTAAATGGAGCCCTCAATCAATCCCTCTCATAGTCGTTCAGGGCCCAGGGAAGAGATCCTGTACTTCCCGATGCTGTCAGCTTGGCCTCCTTTCCATCCAGAATTTTCTAGCCCTACCTTTGGGTAACCCAATAAAAGGTTTTGCCAGACAGAAAAGCAGCCTTCCCCACAAGCTAACTTCTGGAGTCACCCGTTCCCACCTTTGTGCACCACGTGGGCACCTGCCTGGAACCCCGTGGGCATTCATCAACAGAACCCTGCTTCCTGCCCCTGGCATGACTCCAGAGCAGTCACAGGCATTGGCTGTGTTTAAACGCATTTTCCTCTGGCTTCAGGGTTGTTGACTGGGAGAGCAGGCACGGCCGGGCCACCTGCATAGACCCACCACCCACGTGGAGGCGGCATGGTGACGAGTGGGGTGGCTGTGGGTGGCTGGCGTGGCACCATCTTGGGCAGCTGGCCAAGGCTTGGGGGTGAGTAGATCGTGGCTTTAATTGGCCCCCTTGTGCGAGCTGCCGTGGCCCGGGCCACAGCCCCGTTTGTTTCAGCCTCCCAGGAGCCCCAGGCCCGGCTCCTCCAGCCCATTGAACACATCGGCTCTAAGTAGGTCAAGGAGAGCGCTGGGCAGCCGTGGCTCCGCGCTCCTTCCCTTTCATGTGCCTGGCGGCTCCTGCCAGCCTGGCCTGCCTTTACCAAAGGGACTTCGCTCTCCTTGCCATGTCAAAAAGATATTTCATGTTAAAATTCAACGTAGAGATGTTAACCAGACGTTGGAATAAGGCTCGTCAGACCATGAGCAGCTCAAACCAGCTGAACTTTGCCCTGCTCTGTGGAGGGTCTTGCCCACAGCTGGCAGCGACCAGCTGGCACATTTTCACAAGGCTGGATGCCGACACTGCCCCCGCAGCCCCTGCGCCATTTCCTGGGAGCCGGTGCCACGGGCCCCCTGTTCCAGGGGTCAGGGCCCAGCTGCTGCCCCCCTTCCCCCGGCTCTCGGCCTTCAAGTTTCCAGCAGCTTTCCTGAACAAGTCATATGCTGGTTTAGCTGCAGTCTTAGGGACTCCTGATCCTCTAGCAGAGAGCTGTCCCTTTGTGATTTTGTGAGTTGCAGCCTATTGTTAAGAGAAGCAATTTGAGGTGGATGCAGGGGAAAGCTGGGGGGAGTGTAAGGGAAGGCACGACATGGATTTTGGCAAAATCCATCTCATTTCACCGGAAAACACAGTGGCAGGATTTGGCCGGCAGTGGGCAAACATACTGTGCGACCAGAAGTTTTCTTTTCCGCTTCTGTGCATGAGACGTGCACAGCCTGAGATCAGAGCAGCCAGGGCTGGCTGTGGTTTGAACAAACCCATGAATTCTCTCAAAACAAGAGACAGTGTAGCTCCACTGTTACTCACACAGTCTGAGTGTTCACTGCCTCGAACCTGCCTTGGGTTCTCCACCTGCCTGGTCTCTGCAGATGTTTGAGTTCACAACCCTTATTCTCCCCGTGGGGAAAAGGTGTCACCTGTCTTGATGACTGCACCCCTACCCGGGACAGTCGTTCAGATAAACCGTACAAAGTCTCCTCCCTCCTAAACTTTCAGCAAATCCAAGGGACTCTTCGTCCAAATCATGCCCTCCCTCTGACCACTTCTTCTCATGGGTACCGCTGGCACCTTGGCCAAGCCAATCACCTCCTGCCAGGACGCAGTAGCCTCCAAATGGGTCCCCCTGCCCCAGTCCCGCTGCGCAGTGCCCATTCCCCGCTCCCAGCCAGAGCTAACCTTCAGAATCAGGTCAGACCCCATCAGCCTTCCACTCAAAACCTTGCATGGCCCCTTCTCACCCAGTTAGAGTCAACATGCCTCCTCACAGACATGTCCCCGGGGGCCCAGCTGTGCCATCTGCGTGACCCCAGAGCCCATCCTGTCCCCCGCACTCAGCCCTGGGCCAGAGCTGGGAGCTGTCCCGCTGCGGGTTCATGGCTTTTAAGCTGAATAAGCCTATAAAGGAGAGAAAAGGAGCAAACCACAGCCACAATCATGACAAGGCTTTGTCTCAAACACGCAATGCTGAGTTGAAAGAAGTGGCTGAAAACCTCAGAAGTCCACGCTGGCGTCACCAAACAGCGTATTGTTGAGGGATGTGTGAGTCGGTGGCACATTTAGGAGGAAAACACGAGAACATAGGATCACAGTTACCTTGGGTGGAAGGAGGGGGCTGCACAGGGGGATGCCGAGTACTTGCAAGACCCTATTTCTTAATTACATGGGTGTTAGATTATGACTTTAAGTTTTGATTAGTTTTTGTGAGGATAATTGACTGCACATATTTAAGTGTACCAAAAGTGGGTTTTGACATACCTATGTATGCGTGAAACCATCTCCATAATCAAGATAATGAACGTATCCATCACCCCCAAGATTCCCTGTTGCACCTTTGAAATCCCTCTTTTTCTCCCTTCCCCTGCCTTGGGCAACCATTGATCTGCTTCCTATTGCCAAAGATTTGTTCACATTTTCTAGCATTTTCTAAAAATACGTAAATGTTATATAATGTGTATTTCATTGCATAGATATACCAAAATTTGTTACCTATTCATCTGTGAATGGACATTGGGTTGCTTCCGGCTTTTGGCAGTTGCAAATCAAGCTGCTGTGAACATTCAGATGAACATCTTTGCATGGGCAGTCTCTCATTTCTGTTGGCACATTTAAAAAGTGGAACGGCCGGGTCATACAGTCAGCATACGTGTAACTTTTGGAGAAAAGGCCACGCATTTCTCCTAAGTGGTGGATTTTATCTTCCCACAGTTGCCTCACAGTCCCACCAACATGTGGGCTTTGGGTTTTTGCCCTTCTCGTGGGTGAGTGGTAGCATCCCGCTGTGGTTTTAATTGGCATCTTCCTAGCGATGTTGATCATCTTTTCACCTGCTTATTCGTCATCTGTACATCCTCTTTTGTGAAGCATCTGTTCAAACCTTTTACCTGTTTTAAAATTCTGTGATCTTTTTAAATTGTTGAGTTGTAAGTGTTCTCTGTGTTTCCTAGATAGAAGTCCTTCGTCAGATATGGATTTTTCAAATATTTTCTCCAGAGTCTGTGGCTTGCCTTTTTGTTTTTGTAACAATCTCTTTTGGAGAGCAAATGTTTGTTTTATGAAGTCCAATAGATCATTTTTTCTTCTATAGCTCTCTTTTTTTTTTTTGGTGCTCTATCTGAGATATCGTTGCCAAACCTAAGGTGGCTAAGATTTCCTCCTGTTTCTAAACTTTTAAAAATTTTAGCTCTTATGTTTAGGTCTAAAATACCTTTTTTTTTAAGGCTTCAAAAAGATCATCTTTATTTTATTGTTAGTGTTGGTTTTTATTGTCATAGAAGTGGGACAAACATAACAAGTGGGACAAACAAACAGAACAGCCCACATAACAAGGCTGTGGGGTCTCCTTGGTGGCTTCTTTCTTTTTTAAAAAAAATTTTTATGAAGTATAGTCTGTTTACGATGTTGTGTCCATTTCTGGTGCACAGCATAATGTTTCAGTACATATACATACATACATTCCTTTTCATTTTCTTTTTCATTATAGGTTGCTTTAAGATATTGAATATAGTTCCCTGTGCTAGACAGTAGAAACTTACTGGTTATCAATTTTATATACAGTAGTTAGGATCTGCAAATCTCGAACTCCCAATTTATGCCTTCCCACCCTCTTCCCCACCGTAACCGTAAGTTTGTTTGCTGTGTCTGTGAATCTGTCTCTGTTTTGTAAATAAGTTCATTTGTGTCTCTCGTTTTTAGATGTAATACATTTAAAGTTAATTTTTGCATATGGTGTGAATTTGGGTTAAATTTCTTTTCCATCACCCTCCCTCCGTTCTCTCTTTCTTCCTTTCTTTCTCTCTTTCTTTCTTTCTTTCTTTCTTTCTTTTCTTTTCTTTCTTTTCTTCTTTCTTTTCTTTTTTCTTTTCTTTTCTTTCTTTTTCTCTTTCTTTCTTTCTTTCCTTCTTTCTCTCTTTCTCTCTCTCTTTCTTTCTTTCCTTCTTTCTTTCTTTCTCTTTTACATGGCTATCTAATTGTTCCAGCATCATTTGCTAAAAAGATTATCCTTTCCCCATTTAATTAATTTGGCACCTTGGCTGAGAACCAATTAACTGTACATGCTTTGCTCTATCTGAACTTTTGATTCTATTATATCAAACAAAATTATCCAGCTTTGTTCTCTTTTTCAATATTGATTTGGCTGATTCAGATCCTTTGTATTTTTATATAAACTTTAGAATGGGCTTGTCAGTTTATATCCCCAAATCTGCTGGCGTTTGACTGGGGCGGCATTGAATCTATGGATTAATTTGTGGAGAAGTGACATCTTGATACTCATGAGCCTCCCAATCCATGAACGTGTTACATCCCTCCCTTGATGTATTCTTCTTTATTCCTCTCAGCAATGTTTTGTAGTTTTCAGTTTATAGCACCTCACCTCCCTTTATTTGAATTTATCCTCAGGTATCACATTTCTTCCATGCTGTTGTTAAATGGTATTGTGTTGAAATGCTCAATTTCTGATTGCTACTAGCACACAAAAATACAACAGATTTTTGTGTATTGATCTTGTATCCTGCAATCTGGCTAAACTGATTTATTACTTCTAGTATCATCTTGGGGAATTTCTTAGGATTTTCTACAATTATATCATCTGCAAATTAAAGGCAGTTGTATATCTTCCTTTCTAATCTGTATGCTTTTTATTTTTTCTTGCCTTATTGCACTGACAAGAAACAATGTTGATTAAAAGTGGAGAGAGTAGACATCCCTGTCTCATTCCTAATTTTAACAGGAAAGCTTTCAGTCTTTCACAATTAAGTATGGTGTTACCTCTAGGTTTTTCATAAACGCCCTTATCAGGTTGAGGAATTTCTTTGTATTCCTACCTTGCTGAATGTTGTTTACCAGGAATGGACGTTGAATTTTGTCAAATGCAGTTTCTTTATCAATTGAGATGATCATGTGGTTTTTCTTCTATAGTTTGTTAACAGTTTAGCTTGTTCACTTTGATTTTTGAGTGTTAAACCAACTTTGCATTCCTGGGAGAAACACAACTTGCTCATGATATAGTAACATGTTAATATTAACATATTAATATTCTGTTGGGTTCAATTTTCTTAATGTTTGTTAAGAATTTTTGTGTCTATGTTTGTAAGAGATATTGACTTATAATTTTCTATTCTTGTAATGTCTTTTTCTGATTTTGGTATCAGGATAATGCTGGGCTCATAGAATGAGTTGGAAGGTGTTCTCTTTTTCAGTTTTACAGAATATTTTGTGTAGAATTACTATTATTTCTTGCTTAAATCTTTGGCAGACTTAACCAGTGAAGCCATCTAGGCCTGGAGTTTTCTCTATGGGAAAGTTTTAAACCTTATAATTCAATTTCTTTAATAGATTACAGGGCTAATAATGTTATCTATTTCTTATTGAGTAAGTTTTGGTAATTTATATTCTTCAAGAAATTTGTTAGTTTCATCTAAATTGTCAGATTTATTGGTAAAATATTCCTCATAATATTCCCTTATCATTTTACTGTCTGTAGGATTTGTAGTGATGCTTCCTTTTTCATTCCTGATGTTGGTGATGTGTGCCTCTTCTCTTCTTTTTCCTGGTCAGTATGGCCAGAGGTTTACACATTTTATTGACCTTCTCAAAGAACCAGCTTCAGGTTCCTTTGATTGTCTTGATCATTTTCTAGTTCTCTAATTTCTGCTGTTTATCATTTCCTTTCTTCTACTTACCTTAGGTTTAATTAGTTCTTCTTCTTCTAGTTTCTTAAGCTGAGGCATTTGATTTGAGACTCTGTTCCTTTCTAATGTAAACATTTAATGATATAAATTTCCCTGCAATCACTACTTTGGCTTCATCCCACCAATTTTGATATGTCATTTAGCATTTATTTTCTGCCCAGTTCAAAATATTTTCTAATTTCCTTTGTGATTTCTTCTTTGACTCATGGGTTATTTAGAAGTTTGTTATTTCGTTTGAAAACATTTTCTAGCTATCTCTCTGGTACTGATTTCTAATTTAATTCCATGATGATTCAAGAACTACTTTATGTGATTTGAATCCTTTTAAATTTATTACATGTGAAGTAAGGCTGGGGCCCCACAGGGCCTGTTGGCAGGGGAAGTATGATCTTTATCATGAGTCACCATTAAGCAGACTGGGAATTTAACTAGAATTGTGCTTGATTGGTCTGGTGTGCATCAGATGTGAGAGAGGGAAATCGGTATGCTTGGGATGGAGAACCTGGGGCTTGAGGTATCTCTGAGTCATCCAAGGAGAGTGGGCTGTTGCCTAAAGGGTTTAGATCTCTGGGGAAAGGTACAGCTTTGTGACAGGGCTGCAGATATCAGAGCATGGAGGGGTGCGGGTAAGCACAAGGAGCCCGGTGTGCTGGAAAGAGCTCCGGACTGGGAGTCAGGCCAGCGTCCAACTATGTGACTCTGATCATGCCACTCCACCCCCTGGGCTTTAGTTTCCTCACCTCTGAAACAGGTGATCCACCTCAGTGATGCCATTGTTCTAATGCCCTGGGCTGCTGCTCAAAAAGGGAGGGGCTGCCTGAATTGGGAAAAGGTGACCCCAGGAGACAGACAAACCAAAAGGATGCCTTGCAGCATAAGGCCTAAAATTAAGGCCCAATATTCTGTGTTGCCTTGACATCTGGTGAAACCAAGAGGGTGTCTAGTGGCCTAACTATAGGTCCCCCTCTGCACTCTGCTCCTGAGGTTAAGGCCCCCCAGGCAGGAACACTTCTCATCAAGGGACAGCACAGGTCCTGTCATCCCTGAACAGTAGGAGTCAGCTCCCTACCAACCTATGGAGTGACTCAAGCCAACCACATGCTCCTGTGGAACCAGGGATCCCCTCCTCACTCTCCTAATTCTACAAAGCCCGCCTTCTGCTGCCTTTGCTGGTTCTCTCTGTTCCTGAGAGCAACTCATGTGACCCTGCGTGGTGTGCAGTGTCCACCTCCCTGGGCTGTGAGTATATGAGATTAATAAACTGCAGTCCGCCTCCCCTGTACAGTGTTAGGTGTTACGTGTTAGGCCTTCCCCGTAATCACATAGTCACAGGGTGGGAGGCCTCCCTCACCAACAGTGTAAACAGGAGGAAATTAAAATAGCTCTTTACTTTGTGTGAAAACAACCCTGTTGGGGTGGAGCCTGGGCTGGGTTTCAGCTCCACATGCCTCCTGGGCTGTGCCCGAGGACGGGACACCACCCAGATGTCGCCCCCTGCAGCTCTGGTAGCAGCTCGTATTGGTTGGACTCTGATCTGTGCTACAATCTGCTAACCCGTCACCCACTCGGGGAGGTAGATTGCATGGTGAGTCCCATTTCACAGAGTACTGAGGAGGACTCTGTGAAAGTCAGGGGAGAGACTGGAACCAGGTCTGTCTGGGACCTGCCACTTCTGTCCCACAATTCACTCTGGAAACTGGGAGGTGAGACACCCGATGTGCCAGGTTCTGAGAAGTGAGGAGAGGGTGGCTGAGTATAAAGACTGCGTCTGGCAGGGAAGGGAGAGGCCTTGGGGGCAGCCCGGAGGGGCATGGCTGTCTGTGGGGGGTGGAGGTGGGTGGAGGGTCTCACGGGGCAGGGAGAGCAGAAGTGAGTGGTGGAGCAGCCACAGCGGCCGCTGGGCCCCACCAGACCCTCAAGGCCGCCCAGAGTGCTTCCACCTTCTGATCACAGAAGACGCCCGTTGGCCAAAAGGGCTCCCGCAGGCAGAATTTCTAGAACCTGGTGCTTTCTGCAATGACTTCCTCTCGCTGGCGGCCCGGGGCTGCCACCGATCTCCTAGAGTAATCAAAAGAGAGAGCGATGAAGTGTGATTACTACACGACTGGGGCTTGGAAGGCAGAAACAGGGGTCAAGACTTAAAGGAGTGCAAGTTCTAGGAGATCAGAATTTTACTTACCGCTGTTACCCAAAGCAGAGGACAGTGCCCCCATCATAGTAGATACACAAGAAAAATGAATTAAGTGAAAGAGTAAATTACGTCCTTGCTTTCCTGCTTCTTAGCTAAGTTGCATAACCTCTCTGTGTCTCCATTTCCTTGATAGTGAAATTGGACCCCAACCTTGTGGGGTTGTCGTGTGGATCAAATCACAAGCACTATTAAAACCATTGGGGCTCACTAAGCACCCCCTTTTATTACTATTATCCTGATCTTGGCTCCCGTTCAGCTGCAGGGCCCCCGTGAACACCGTCACCTGAGACACAGCAGCCACCCTTGAGGGGCAGGAGCTGTGGGCCAGCCGCCGTCCTTGGTGCTTTCATATAATTACTCACTTAAACCCGAAAACAACTCTTTGAGCAAGACTTTTTTTTAACACCCATTTTACCAATGAAGAAGTGGAAATGTAGAGGCAATTCTGGCTATAAAGGAAAGCCGAGGAATGTTCCTTCATTCTTATTCTCTCCAAGAACGTATGTGAGAATAGCAGGATCTCCCCCTAGAGGAACGAGGGAACGCACCTGAGAATTTGTCTGGGCGGCTCTGCGGGAAGATCTAAGGTGGATGGTTGAGGCTCTCTTTCTCATGTCTGGTAAGAGGCAGGTAACTTGCCTGAGCAGGCGGGGATTCAGTCCCTGGCTGTCTGGCTGCGGAGCCGGGCCCTCGATGAGTACCGTTTCCTGCCTAAGGTACAATCACCTTCTACCTTGAGGCCTCAAACGTCACTTCATCTCTGAGCTTCTTGTAAATGGAGATGGCAACAGTGTCTTCCTGGCAGGGTTGTTGTGAAGATGAAGTGGTTTCAGAAGCATACTGCCCTGAGCATGGTGTTTGGAACTTGTGAGCACTGAACAGTCTCAAGCTTTGAGCATACTGCGTTGACCTGCCCGGCCCTGTTTCCACCCTCTCTGCCCAGGACGTCTCCTTGACCCTTGGGCTTCCTGCCTTGGGGCTATGGGTGGATCTGCCACCACATCTGCAACCCCGCCTAGCTACGTTGCTCCCAGGGTGGCAGGGGGAGGGGGGGAGGTTTGTCACTCACTGTCTCTCCAGGTCCTGGATGGTGTCCGGGAGTGGAAGTCCCCGGGTCTCCGGGAGGAAGAGGACAATGAGGCTGGAAGCAGTGGGGAGGACACCGTAGGAAATCGCAGGCAGCAGGGGCAGGACCTGGCGGGTCATCCTGATCAGGGGGCCCATCACAGACCCCAGCCGAGTTGCTGAATGCAGGAAGCCTTCTGCTGTCATCCTGTGGTTGGAGAGGAGGCCTTATCACAGATGCCACTTTTGGGTGGGTACTTTACGAGGAGGGGCTATTTGGCTGGGCCAGGGAATGCCAGGGGAGGGAAAGCTGGGCGGAAGGAGTCGTCTCAAGGTCTCTTCTAACACCACCTCCTCCGTGGAGGCCACTTAGATTTTCCCACCCACGGCTGCCTCTGCTTCCTGGGAACCTCCAGAGTCCTTCCTGGAAACCATCTATTGCCCACCCCATTCCCCCTGGTCCCAGGTCATTTGGAGCCTCTCCTCAGGGCTCTTGCTAGGCCTCTGAGCTCCCTGTTCAGGTTTTCTACAGCATATCAGCAAAATCAATAAACATTTGTCCAAAAATAAATAAATAAAAGAATGGACAAGTGAGTGAGGCCGGGCCAGGCCCCTGGGGGCTGGGGTCCAGCCCTACGCTCCTCCTGAGTCAGTCCTTGGCCGCTTTGAGCCACCGTCTCCCCATGTATCCAGTGGGGTGGGGTTGAACTCTACACCACTGGTTTCCCATATGTGTCCCATGGAGCCCTAGAGTTCTGAGGGGACCTGGGGGTCTCTGGGGGCAGGGAGGGGACAGTGGAAAGCAAGTGGAGTCTCTACTCCCCCAGGACAGCTCTTGGCTGCCTCACCAGGGCTCTTAGATGTCACCTGAACAGAAGGCCTTGTGTCTCAAAGCAGTTTCCAGCCCAGAGGCCTGTCGAGGGCCCTCCTGTGCGGCTGCCTCTGAGCCTGGACCCTTGGGGAGGGACTGTCTGGGGAGGCCGGCCGAGCATTTATCTTTGGGGGAGGGACTCTGGGGCATCTCCACAGTTCCATGTCGGCGCTGGGTCCCCCTCGCCCTCTGCTATGTATTCCTGGGTGCCCAGCCCCTCCCTGCCCTTCCCACTGACCCCAACCCTGATGCTCCTTTCTCGCCCACCCCCGGGGCTGGCAGCCCCTCCTGGCGCAGCCTGCGGCCCAGCCTACCGCAGTGAAGTTGGGAAGAGTTCCGGCTTGTAGACCATGAGGCAGGTTAAGCTTATGCCAAAACATCCTTTTCCCAGCACAGCAAAGACCACACGCAGGGTCTGCAAATCTAGGCAGAGAAAAGGGTGAGGGTGAGGCCTGCCTGGAAAGGTGTTCGGCAGCCCGGAGCGGAGTGGCTGGGCTGAGAGCAGGTCTCCGGCAGTGTGACTCGATGCCAGGCTGCCTGGGCCAAGTGGGATGCAGCACAAGGTGACATCGTGGTAGGTGGGCCAGGGGTGGGGTACAGAGCAAGAAGCCAGCCAGGTCTGGGCTGGGTGAGCATGGGCGCAGCTGAAGGTGGCACTCAAGGTGTGACAGTGCCAAGGCTCCTTGGGGCCCTGGGGGTGGTTCTTCCCATGAAGGAGAGGGTCGTGCCAAGCCCAGGTCCATAGCAAGGGCCCCTGGGGCACCCAGCTCCCCGGAAGCCCTCCCACCGCCCTGGGGAGCCTCAGGGTCACACTCCAGTGGTGGGCATCGGCCTCAACCTCCCCTTCCCACAGGTCATCAGAAGCATCTTATAAACTGTCACGTGCTGTCTTTGGAGTTTTTCTCAGAGCCCTGTGTCTTGCTCAGAATTTGGGCTCGCAACCGGCCCGCCGTCGTCACTCAGCCCCTCGCGGCTACTGGTTGCCCCTCACCTTCCTCCAGGTTTTCCCGCCGCAGCAGGACACCTGCTCTGCCCCTCCCCCAGGTACCCACCTTGAGCAATAAAATGAGACATGGGGAGGGTATCTGGGGCATCACAGCCTCAGTCAGAAAGGAGAGTGAGACCAGGGCCCTCCCCAGCCTCCCCAGGGCTCTGCATGCCTCTGTAACAAGCGAGAAGAAAACACCACAGCAGCTTGCCTCGCTGTGGGGCCTTTCCTGCCTCACTCGGACCCCCTCCCAGCCTCCCAGACCCTTCCTCCCACTGCAGAGTTCAGCCTCTGGCTTGAAGTCTGGTCCAGGCTCAAATCTATTCCTTGCGGCTGAGGGAACTTGGGCAGCTGGCTTCCCCTCGCTGAACCTGTTTCCTCAGGAAGATGGGGGAAGGGCTGGTTGGGTTGTGGCTGTCACAGACTTGGGCAGAGCTGGGGCACAGTGGCCCATGCCCATCCTCGGGGCCAGGGGAGGAGAGGAGGCCGGTGGTGAGGGAAGTGGGGTGGACAGGGAAGCTCTCCTGCTGCCCCGGTCGCACCTTGTGGGACAAGCATGTTGGCCAGGATGGCGAGGCCAGCCATGGCCAGGAAGCCGGCCAGGGTCGTGCGGCGGCCGAAGAACCTGAGCAGGAAGATGGTGGTGGTCCGGGCCAGGAAGTCCACGGCTCCGAAGAGGACCTGGAGGAGGAAGATGTCACTCCCCAGGTTCTGCAGGTCGAGGAACAGCCCGTAGTAGGAGAAGGAGAGGGAGAAGCTGCGGGGCAAACCCAGACATCAGTGCCGCCCCGCGGAGGGGAGGCCACCCTGGCAGCATCACCCACCCTGGCAGCCCCAGGAGAGCTCTGCCAGACTGATTGCATCTCCCCAGGGTCAGGCTGGCCCAAGAAAGGGTGCTGAAGGCAGTGGTCCCATCCATTCTCCGTGTGGGCCTTCAGTATGGGCCGTGGCCAGCTGGGCATCACCTCTCAGGCTACCTGTCCACCAACCAGCGGGAAGACTTGACCCTCTCTGGGCAGATGGGGCAGTGGGTCCAGCTGAGCTGCCCCTTCATCAGGATTTAGCGCCCTCTGGCTTTGTTTCCTGGTCCCAGTCCCGTCCAGGAACCGCCATCTGGGCTCTGTTCTACCAGCCGTGAACCTGGGCAAGTCTCTGCCTGCCCCTCTTTGGACACCAGTTTCTTTGTCTTGAAACATGGGATTATAACAGAATGGGGCTGGAGGGGAGGGCATAGCTCAAGTGGTAGAGAGCATGCTTAGCATGCATGAGGTCCTGGATTCAGTCACCAGTACCTAATAATAAATAAATAAACAGACCTAATGACCTCCTGCCCCCCAAGAAAAAAACAAAAATAAAATTTTTAGTAAATTAAAAAAAATAACAGAATGGGAGAAGGATGGGGTATAGCTCAGTGACTGAGGGCATGAGTGCATGCTTAGCATGCACAAAGTCCTGAGTTCAATCCTCCATTAAAAAAAATAGACCTCCATTTAAAATAATAATAATAATAATAATAATAATAATAATAATAATAATAATAATAATAAATGTAATCTTAGCGGAGGATGCTGGGCTGTTCCCCTCAGGATGAAGAGTCTTATTTCCCAGCCCCTAGAAGTGTTGCCCCCACAGCTGGGGAGAGCATCCCTTGGCTGGTGTACTCGGGCCAGAAGGAAGACTCAGAAAGGCCACCCCCGCTCCCAGGTCCCCGTGAGTTGGCTGGGACCTTGCTATGGTGGTGGGTATCGCGGTGCCTTCTCCCCTGTCCCTGCCGCTTCCCTCCCTCCCCTCCCCTTCCACAAAAGTGATCCCGAGAGTCCTCTCCATGACCTCCCGGAAGAGCTGCCATTCCTGCAGAAACGCTGTGTTTCCTGAAGTTTGTGAAAGTGACGTGGGAGAGGGCTGGGCTGGCACTGAAAGCGGCTGACACATGAGCACCCAGAGCCTCCACTGTAACAACTGGGTAGCAACTGGGTTAACAGCAGAAGACAGGGTAAGCCCAAGAGGGTTGCATCCTCACAGCCCATGATTTGAATAACAAAGGATGCAGAGCAGCCCCTGGGAGAACTGAGGAAGCCTGGATGGTTTTTGAAAGAATGACCCTGGACATTCATGGCACAGGGCACTCCTTCTAATTTATCAGAAAAAAAAGAACTTAAGCCAAAATAAATAAATAAAAAGAGAGAGAGAAGCATTTGCTGCAGTCTTTGTTCTAAGATGTAACATGCATTTGCTGTTATCAGCCACACGTGATTCAATATAGCATAAAATAAACCTTGTCCTGATCTTGAGTTTTATTTCAAGACTAAATCCTAGTCAAACCTGACCCTCAATTTCAATCTGCTCTTCTGGAAGTCACTTAAATTGAATTTGTTTGAACGAGTCTTTTCCTGGTCCCAGGAACCCTTGGGTCACATGAGACAGGGCCTCCTGGGGCAGACGGAGTCCACGATCAGTGTGGGGCTGGAGGGTCACAGAGCCAGGCGAGGAGGCAGCGTGGCCTGGTTCAAATGCCTGCTCCATTGTTACTTGCCTCTCTCTGGGCCCCTCTTTCCTCGTCTGTAAAGTGGGGTGTAGATGAACTTATCTCATGGGGGCGGCCGGCCCATGGTTCTTTCTACGCTCGAGGAGTCTGGCTGTCAGAGTGAGTCCAATGCTAACCAGCATGTGGTCCTTTCCAGCTGTTGCTGGTCTCTTGGCTCTGCCTCCTCTGCCCTGGGCTTCAGCCTGACCCTGGCACCCTGCCCAAGACCACATCCCAGCCATGCCAGCTTAAGCCGATTTCCTGACCACATCTGTACAAACCCTGTCTCCGCTGCCCGCCAGGACTCCCGCTTCCCGGGGGAGCTGCCTGTTGCAGCCAGAAATGTACTCCATTAGCCTGCAGGGGCTGTTTCCCCCCAGGCTCCCCCTCCCTCCTCGGCCCAGTCACCAGGAGGAAAGATCGGGAAGGCATACTTCACCACCAGCAGGCTGCAGCTTCTCCAGCGGAGCGCGGGCACTCGGAACAGGTCCAGCACTGACTGGTGGGACTTGGTGGAGGCCAGCTCCTCCTCCATTCTGGACATCAGTACCTCCAGGGAGAACGGGGGCAGTGAATGTTGGGCCAATAGCTCTTCTCCAATCCCATGCCACAAATTGTGTCCAGATGGGCAGAGTGATGGGGAGAGCCTGGCCTTGGCTTCTGGAGACTGGAGAACCCTGGGGATGAGGTTAGGGCTGAGGGCAGGAAGGGTTCTCTCTGGCCCCTGGCTGAGCTCCCTTCTCCAGACCCCACCCCTCTACTCAGAGCCAAGGAGCAGGTCTTGTGCCCCAGCTCTGGCCACTGAGCTGCAGGCTGCAGGAAGCTCTTGGCAGTTACCACACAAAGCCTTACCATCCCTCCTCATTCCTTTTGGCTGGCATCGGCCCACCTGCTCCAGCCACATTGGCTCCTCACTGCATCCCAAGTGCCCATCCAGTCTCTGCCTACACCCGGGGCCCTACATGCCCAGTGCTCAGCTCAGTCTTGATCATAGCTAACTCACCTCTTCCTGGAAGCCTTCCCTGATCCTCCCGCCTCCAGGGAGCTCTGTGTGCTCCAGTCTCTGTCTGCACATCCTCCCATACCTATTTCCTTGAAAGATCTACTTTCAAATAAGCACATCCTGTTTACCCAAATACACTGAGAAGCCCCGTGAGATAAGTGTGCAATATATATGAATTAAAGTGGTGAATAATAGAAGTGGTGATGTGGGTGTGTGACTGTTGTCAATAATGGTTGTACTGTTGTTACTGACGGTGTTGATGGTGACTGTGGTGGAGTTGGGGGTGGTGGTGATGATGGCAATGACGGTGGTAAACGTGAGGGTGACGGTGGGGTTGATGATGTTTTGTGGAGATGTTGATGTGGATGTCAATTATGGTATTGGTGGTGCTGGTGGTAATAGGATGAAGTTGATTGTGGTGGTACTGCTGGTGGAGGTGATGGTGGTGGAGATGGTGATGGTGGTGGTGATGATGGAGATGTGATGGTGGTAATGGTGTGATGATGGTGGTGGTGGTGATGATGGTATTGGTGGTGTGATGATGCTGGTGGTGGTTTGTATGGTGGTGGTGGTGATGATGATAGAGACGGTGGTGATGTTGATAGAGATGGTGAAGATGATAGCAGTGGTGGTGATGCTGATGTTTGTTGAGATGTTGATGTTCATGGAGACGGTGGTGGAACAGAGACTGGTGATGTTGGTGATACTGTATCAGTGGACGTCCCTTCCTGGGTCTTGTTCCACACTCTGGGTCACAAACATCAGCATCTCACCTCTATGGTCAGTGTCTTTTGGGCTTCCTTGTGGCCATTAATTCTGGCCACCTTTTTGAGTTCCTGAAGGGCTTGATCTGGTTTGCCCATGATAATCAGCCATCGCGCAGATTCTGGCAGCCACCTGTTAAAGAAGCAGATGCTTGGCTGGGTCTTTGCTTTCTTTGTGCAGACTGGGCATCCCCCCAGGTTAAGGTGGGGAGGGGGTGGTGGGCAGCAGACCCTCCAGCTGCCACAGGAGTGGAGAGAAGGCAGCCGCTTCCCCCTCTGCACCGATAATGCCAGACTGGGAGACTGGAAGCCCCTGATGGTCTCAGAATACAGATGAGTCCCAACGCCCAGCCGCCCTCTTCACCATTTCTCACTCTACGCCACCCCATCTGGCGTCCCTGCTGCCAGGAGCCTGTCCACCCAAGCCTCATATTCAGCCAGCGCACAGGCTGCCTGCACATGGGCTGATTCTGGGGCCATTTCTCTGGCAGAAAGCTTGCATCATGCTGATTAAAAAAAAAGTTTAAAAAAATCCCCAGAGTCCAGTGGTTTTATAAAAGTCATCTGCTTCCCAGCCCCAGGGGCGGATGGGCAGGCAGAAGCACCTCCCTGGTGAAAGGGACAGAGTTTTCCTGGCTCGCGGGAGCTCAGCCTTGTTTGCAGGGAAGACTCTTTCACATGGTGGTTGGAAGAGCTGCCCCCCTGGAGTCAACTCCTGCCTCTGGCATACAACGACCTGTGGCCTTGGGCAAGTCACTGAACCTCTCCGAGCCTCAGTCCCTCATCTGAAGGTGGCAGCAATAACATCACCTTGCTCATTAGAAGCAGTGTTAATACTTCTGATGTTACTAACAGCACCTGAGACTCTCCCAGTCTGTGTAACTATGGGAGGGTCTTCCTCTTTGCTTACTGATCCTGTTGACACCATAAAACTCCACGCAGCTGGTGACTTTTGGTCTATTCTGTTTGCTAATGTGTCCCCAGTGCCTAAAGCCATGTCTTGCATGGGGCAGGAGTGTAATAAATATTTGAGAATGAATAAATGAGTCCTTATTCTTTTCTATACCCCACGGCACATCCGCCTGCACCCGGGGCTGCTCAACTGGGCGCACAGGCACGAGGAAGCTTACGGGGGTAAGAATTTGTGTTTGTTTCCTGTATCTCTTCCTCTGGTCCCTGTGCAAGCAGGTATTTGCAGACCTCAGGGATTTTTGTAGCACAGAAATAACAGTGACACTGATAACTTCCCATGCCTGATGCCTGCCTTGGATGCCCACAGGCCGGGCAGGTGATGTGAAGGAGGAAAGCTGGTGGGTGTCGGGGAGCTGGTGTCAATGCGAGGAAGGGGCAGACCCCTCGGCCTCAGGCCCAGAGGCCAGTGGGCTGGAAGGAACCTTAGGCCTCTGGTTGAAAGGCCCACCCCGAAACTCTGAATCCCCAAGACACAGCTCCCCAGGGGGGCCTGCCTGCTCACCCCAGCTCCCCTCCCCAAGGAAAAAGGCCCCACACTGTACCAACCAGGACATCAGGAAGATGACAAAGAAGGGCACGGACATGGCCAGCTGGAGGGCTCGCCAGTCCCGCAGGGCGAAGGCCACGCCGCCTAGGGCCGTCTGGCCTATGCTGTAGCTGCATCCCAGCATTGTCATGGTGATGGCCCTCTTGCAGGTCGTGGTCCACTCCACCACTGAAAAGCAGTGCAGATGTGTGGGTGAGGGCCACATACAGTGGCCCTGAGCCCACCCCCTACCCCGCCATGGCCGGGGCAGACAATCGGGGACTCACTGAGCGTCATTGAGGTCAAGATGATGCCAGCCAAACCCAAAGCATTCAAAAATCGGAGGCCACAGTAGACAAGGAAGCTGGGGGCAGCAACGGTGCTGATGTTGGCCACGGCCACCTGCAGGCAGCACCAGCTCAGTATTGGCTTCCGCCCAAGCCTGTTTTGGGAAACAAGAACAGTGAGGGCCCGGAGAGGGGCCCTGTGACTTGGGCATAGAGGCAGGTGCTTGCTGCCGGAGGGCCGAAGAAAGCTGGGGCACCTGCTGGGGTCTCCCAGGGCAGGCAGCACCCCCTCAGAACTGCTAGGACCACGCTCAGAGCGCGCTTGTTAAGGAAATGGCAGATGCCTTGCTCTCGGGGGGCAGCAGCTTAGCCTCGTCGGCAAGAATAGGCTTTGGCATCCGATGTCTGGGTTTGAGTCCAGCTCTGCCCTTCCCAGGTGACCTTAGGCACATGACTCGGTGTCTCTGGGTTGCGGTTTCCCCAGCTGTAAAATGCGGGTGTTCAAGATGACACGCTTCACAGATGTGAAAATCACGATTCTGAACAAGGCGGCAGCGTAGCAGGAGGCTTGATTGCACGTGGTCTCGGGCGAGCCAGCCAGCTCCTCACCCGTCTGCGTGTCAACAGGAGGGCCCTCGGCCCTGTGCCTGCCACTGCCCCCAGGTCAGCCTAGCCCCATCCACTGCCTGCATTTACCTCAAGTGTATGTTGGTTGGACTGGAGAGATGTGGGCCAACCTGTCTGAACAATGTCCAGGAGCAGGGACATGCACCCTAGAAGCTGGGGTGAGGTCTGGAGGCTGACGCCTGGCACTGATCCCAGGCTCACCAGACCAACTGCCATTTGGCTCTCGGTGGGAGGCCACGAAGAACCAGTGATGGCCACATGGCAGCCGGTCCTCTGAAAGTGCAGACTGGACCACATCCTTCCCTGCTACTCCGGCCGTCCGCCATGCTCAAGATGATATAAGGCCCACGAAGTGTGACCACTGTGCCAGGCTGACCCAAGCTCTGCACAGGATTGACTCAGTCATCACAACAACTCCGTGGGGAGGTGGCAGGGTCCCCACTCACAGGAGGAAGCCGAGGCACAGAGAAGCAGCAAACCCGCCTTCTAAGAAGCTGGGACACATCAGACCCCAGAGCCTGCACTGCCTGGAGAGCTTGGGGAAGCCATTCATGCATTCACGGTGTGATGATTCAGGCCACTTGCTGGGTACCGAGGGCACGGCACCACTGTCCCTGCCTTCTTGGAGCTACACACACAGTAAACTAGACAACAATGAAAGCCAGGCACCAGCAGAGCAAGGAGCTGTGATGGGGAAAGTGGGCAGGGCCCTGGGACCTTTGTGCCCGAAGATGGAAAGGCCTCTTTGAGAAGCAGCCTGGAGCTGAGGCCTGTGTGCTGGGCACCAAGCAGCCGTGGGCAGAGGCTTTTAGGCTGAGTTGGGGTGGGGTCACACATGTGACACGGCTGTGTGTCTGACGGCGTGGGCAGGGACTGTCCTCAGTGTGGGTGCCCAGAGGACCTCAGGCTGGGCGGTGACCAATCCATAAAGTCTTCGCAGGGTCACTCTGAGCTCTGGCTGCAGCAGAACGGGCGGTCGAGTGGAGTCAGGAGACTGGAGAGGAGGCTGAGGCCTGTCCAGGCCAGAGAGGGCGGTGGCTCGGGCAAGGGGACGGAGTAGAGGAGTGGGCTTTGGGCTGGGGGCTGCGCTTTGGAGGATGAGCCGTGTGTGCGTAGAGGGTGAGGGAAGGAACACGGGGTTGGTTCCTAGGAGGGCTGTTTTCCAGGATGGAGTCTGGTGGGGAGGGGGCTGGGCTGGGCTTGGGAGTCAGCAGTTCAGCTTCCCCACAGTGATTGTGAGGTGCCTCCAAGTGGAGACACCAAGCCTGCAGTTGGGTTTACAAGCTGAGGGGGTGCGACGTGGGTGTTTTCAGCGCTGGACAGCGGAGGGCGCACAGACCGAGAAGTGCTGGACGGATCCTGGGGGCTGCACCGCAGGAGGGGGTAGGGGGGAGGGGAGGAAGAGGAGGAGAAAGAGTGTTTCTACTTCTTAGCACTTCATGTACTTGAAGCTGAAAGAGAGAAGGGTCTGTCTCTCCCTGGAAGACCCTCAGCTCCCCGAGGGCAGGGCTGTGCAGCACTTGGTGTACAGCAGGTGCTCCGCAAAGTTTGGTGCAATAGCTGAAGAAGACAGTGCTGCGGACAGAGCAAGTGCTCAGGGTGACTTTCCACTGCACAGCTTGACCCGGCATCGAGGTTCCCTGGGAACCTGAGATGCAGCCCCCAGACTAAGGGAGGCCCTCTCTCAGAGAACACGGATGTTCCCTGGACTTTTCCTTACCTTTGTCCCCAGGATGCTCATTCTGTTTTGAAGGAGCCAGGAGGCGAGGAGATACTCACCGGTGGGAGAGGAGGCCCCAGGCGATGGACCCCAACATGGTCCCGGCCATGTAGATGGACTGGCCTAGGGGCTTCAGGCCCTGGTGGTCACACACCAGGCCCCACTGGTAAAGAAGGAGGGCATGTTAGCCTGGCTCAAGGAACATGGAATAGCAGGGCCAGAGTGGCAGAGGAAGGTCCAGACCACCAGAGGGGATCCAGCCACCCCCTATGGGGTCCCCAGATTCCTAGAGCCAGGTGACCCAGGTGGACAGGGTGTGTGGGCAGCTGGCCTCAACCCTGCACTGGTGGCCAGCAGCACAACACACATGTGACACGGCTGTGTGTCTGACGGCGTGACGGCCACTCTGAGTGGACAGCTGTGGGTGGTAGTTAAACCACAAGGTTCGAATTCCAACTCTGCTGATGGCCGGCTGTGTGGACCCGGGTGCGTTCCTGCACCAGCCAAAAATGAGGCTGTACGCTGCTTCCCTCACAGGGCCGTGGAGATGAGCAGAGAAGGCTGAGCACCTGTCACTGTGACTTTCTCAGTGCCTTCTGCCCAGATCGGCAGCCATCGCCTGAACACCACTCCTGGCCCCTCACATCCCCAGTCCCCCACCTCCCCTCGAATTCTCTACCCTGCAAAGTCACCTCCTGAGAATGCAAATCAGATTACAACACCTCCTTGCCCCAAAGCCTGCAATGACGTTCCTTTTTACTTCCCCACTCGGCCCGGCCACCAGCCCTGACCCCTCACCCTCTGTGTGGGGACATACAGGGCCTGGTTCTGTGTCCTAAACACCCAGACATGCTCCTACTCAGAACTTTGTCTGGACTGGGATCCCTCCCAAACTTCATGTGACTGATTCCTTCTCTCATAATCCAAGGCTCATCTCAAAGTTAACCCCTTCAGAGAGGCCTTCCCTGCCTGCCTCTCCCTTCCCCTTGCAGGAACTGCTTTCTCCTTCAGGCTGACTTACGACGCAGGGGCCTCGAGCCTCGAGTCCTCAAGGAAGGGCAGGAGAGTGACGGAGAAGTTCTGGCTCCTGGTTGTCTGGGTTGAATCAGACTGACATACACTTTAGCTGTGTGTCCTGGGGTGAGTTACCTAACCTTTCTGTGCTCCTGTCACTTATCAAATGGATCAATAATAAGACCCACTCATGAGATTGTTGTGCAGTTGTGACTACAGGGAAAGCATGTGAACAGCGGCCTTCACTTAAAGGGTGCGAGGTGAGGATTTACTCTGCTGTTACTACAGTTACTACTGGTTTAAATATTGACTGATTCTGAATTCGCCCACAGAACGTAAGTTCCTCCAAGTCTGCCTGTACATCCTGTAACCCTAGCCCCGGATCAGAAACCGGGCCTTCCTAAGCAATCAGAAAATGTGTTGAGGGAATAGTATATATTTGAAGTAGTAGAAGCGACCTAACCCTCCCAGTCCCTGGGAGGCTGGGAAGGGAGGAAGCGATGGGGTTGGCCTGGGGAGGCCCTTACCTCCGTCACGATGGTGGATGTGAAGATGCTGCGGTTGTAGACCCAACCGTCCACGCACGGCTCTGTGGCAGCCTCACTCCAGTTGGTGGCCGTGGCGTTGGGGTCCAGGAGCTGCCACTGCGGTTGGCGGAAGCGCAGGCACTGGTGGGGCTCACGGTTGGGGCCCAGTGGGATGGAGACGGCCAGGAGGGCCTCGGGGGTGAGGTTGGCGGGGGCCTCAGAGCCATTGTCCAGCACGTGAGCCCAGCAGCGGTGGCCTGGGACGGCGGCCGAAAAGTTCTCCACAAGAAATTGGAAGGGGACCCAGACAGAAAGGAGGAGGAGGGTGAGGGCCTGTAGGGCCTGGAAGAGGCCCACGCCCCCAGCTTGCTCCAAGAGCTCGGTGAAGGCCATGGACAGGGCTGCCGGCACCCAGAGCAGGCTTCCTGGGGGTCAGGGAGCTGGTGAGTCTCCGGCCTGCTGCCCAGAACCACTAGCAGGAGCGCTGGACCTTCTGCCCTCGCCCCCAGCCCCCCTCGCCGCCTGGCCCGGTGCGGGTGGGGCAGCCGCCCAGCAGCCAGTCGAGTCTGTCCTAAGGTGCCCGAGAGGCTCTGAAGAAGCTCCAAACTCCTCCTTCCCCTGCTTCCAGGAGTGACCACTAGGACGGCCTGCTGCTCTGGAGGGGGGCCATCCGAGGACAGAGCCCACTGTGCCCAGGCTGCCTGGGGCATCTGGGGAGCTCTGGTTCTTCAACACCAAGAGT